TTTTTATATAATAATCATTTTTCTTTAAATTATAAATGATAAATTTGTTCTTTCAAATATTCAATACAATTACATATTTTAAACTCAAATTTGAGACTATTTAGCTAAGTAATTTAATATATGACCATTTCGAATAAAAAATAAGAAGTTCAAATTTTAATCAAATAAAAACAATGACAATTTTTAAAAAATTTTAAAATAAATAAGATTAAGTAAAATGAGAAATTACAATTACACTCAATCTTAATTAAAGATATAAAATGAAACTAAGATTATCAATTAACTTTTTAAAAATTATACTTGTATTAACCACTTCACACGTAGAGTTTTGACATTTATTTATTTTTTTGTCAAATTTAGTTACTGTATTTTAAAAAAATTATTAATTACTTCTTAAAATTGAGACAATTTTCTATTATTTTTGTAACAGTAAAAAAATCGTTACTAAATATTTAATTTATGTACAAAATAATATATTATGTCAATTTAAATTCTTTGAATTTTATGACAACTAAAAAAATGTTAAGAATTATTAAATTTTATATTTTAAAAAAAGTTGAAAATTGAATTTATTAATTTGAAAATTAAAAAGTAAAATACAGAATAAACAATACACTTTTTTTTCTAAATCAAAACTTAACAAACATTAGTACTGGTTTAATATAACATGTTCGTCTCATTAACAAAAAATGGATTTGTAACATTTATAATTCTCCTTATTTAAAAAAACATCATAGTTTCAAAAACATGCTTGATTTTTCTGACCATGCTATGGTGAGTGAGATTTTTCTTTTAGTGGAATCATAGTTATAAACCAAATTAATTAATTTGGAAAATTTGAGTATCATATTTTGAATAGAAACACAATTATGTTTGAATTTTACAGGTGAAGAATTTTTTTTACTTAAATATGAATTTAATATTATTAGTTTTCAATCTAAGACAACCTATATTAATTTATTTCTATGTTCAATAATTTTTTTGGCATATGCATATATTCAGTTGAGAAATGAAACTATAAATGAATTATTATTTTTAATATATTTCTTAATTTAAATTGTAAGACTCTTGCTTGGTATTTTTTTTATCTGAGTGCCCCAGTGATAGACATAACATGTGAAAGTTGTAGAAAAACAATGGAGAAATGCTGTCATGTTTCACACCACATGCAGCACTAAATAAAAATTCCATGTGTCGGCGCACAAAACAGTAGTATTCATAAATATAGTTTAATCAATTATTTGTTTGATAAACTCTAGTTACATCGAATTTTATGACACAGTTAGGTTATAAATTAAAATACCCTAATTTCTTCAAAGTTATAAACAATTTTTCAAACTTTGGATTTTTTTTTTTTTTTACAAACTTTCAAATTTAAAAATATTACTCCATTGCCAACTAGGTGAGCCCAATAATCATAGGCACTTGTGTCATTTCTCTAATAACATTTTCCATACATTGCCCAAAAATATTAACATAGATCAAGTATACATATATATATATATATATATATATATATATATATATATATATAATGTATTTTTTATGATATTTATTTATATAACTTATTTCTAAAACATTTTTTATCAACCGTAACCTTTATAAAGTTTAATACAGTAACATATATTTTTTTTAAATTATCTGCCAAAATTAAAAAAAAGCTGAAAACATTAAATATTTGTCTCTTATATTTTATCATTTATGATATACATACTTCATTAAAATAATTCTATTTAAGTTTCATTAATTTATTATATACATACATTCTAATTTTGTTAATTTCAAAGTGCTCATGGGGCAAATTAAACTGTTTTTTAGCTTGTCAAATTATTTGTTATATAAACATCATAATATTACTTCTTATAAAAATTAATGTTTTAAAATAGGATATATTTAAAAATTTAAAGATTTAATCGGATTAACCAAATTTACTAAAATACTATTTGTATAATATAATAATTTTATTAATAATAATATTTTAAAAAATAATAAAACGTAAATTATAATAAATATTATAAATATAAAATAAATAATTATTATTTAAAATTGACATAATTAATATAAAATAAAATAAAAAATATATTATATTTTTATAAAAATATTATATTAAAAAAGTTTATCATAATTTTTCTTTCTATAAAAAAATCTAAAAATCTTATTGATTTAAAAAAAAATATTTTATTACAATATTTTTTGTATTATTTAAATTTAATTAAAATTTGATTATTTAAAAATAATAAATTATTTTTTATTATTTTTTTAAAATCGATTGAATCAACCGGTTAAATTTTATAAACAATAATAAAAAAATAAAAAAGATAATACTAGTTTCTAAATGTTATATTTTATTCTAAAAATTTCAAATATCTTGAGTTTTCAATATGATCCAAATATATTATAAATAATCATATAAAAAAAGTATATGAAGTTTTCATTATTTGTCAGAATAACAGATCTTTACATTACATTTTCAATGCACAGGCTTCTTTCTAATAAAAATATAAAATATCATCATAAAAATGAGGAAATTGTAAATTATAACTACCTAAAAGGAACCTTTCTAACTCTCTCACTGTTCATCTTTTCTTCATTCTTTATTCTTTGAGCATATTGCCAATAAGCTTTATATCTAAAATTCTTGAAACAACATTAATAAAGCTGAGTAATGCTATTTACCCAAAAAGAACAAACCAACAAAACAAAAGACTTTTTAATTATTTGCCTAATTTTATGAAAATTCAACCTCATTGGTTTGTATGTCAACATAATATGCGAAAAGCAATTTAACATTTTTCAAACTGAGTTGTTTATATTTATTTTTTTTATTAATAACCAAGCACTACTATAAAATAAAAGTAATTAATTAAATATTGCAAATGTAGGAACAAATTGAGAACATATGATATGATTCTCTGTAAGGTCACGTCACACTCAGGTCTAATAATCTCTCATCATATCATCGATGATAAGTCATTTTAAAAATTTGAACAAATTTACTGAATTGTCATTTTTTTAATATGTAATAATAGATGCTTCAATGAAATTTTTACTTAACAGTAAAGAACAAATAAATACAAAATTCTGCATTATTAAACTATCAATTAAAAAGTATCTTAAACTTTGAAAGGTATAAAATGTTTTAACACGTTTACAGTTTCACGTCGGTTTAGGAATAATTTAGATAACCATATTTTCAAACATAAAACATATTATATTTTGATCACGATGACTCTGTTATGTTTTGGATGAATTTATGTATTAATATGTTTTAATTATTAAATAATTCTTTTATTGAGTTTTGATTTTATGAAATGAATGACAAACTTAGATAATTTCGTTTTAATCAGAGCGAGGCCGCGTGCTCGATTCCTGTTGAGGACGGAATTGGGGCAACGTGTGGTAAGTCCCCTCGAAATTTCCGAAGAGCGGGGAATCAGAGTCGCGGAAGTGTGGTGGGACCAGGGCTAAGTGCTTAAAGTGTGAACTCTTACTACTAGCTTAAGCTTTTAGTAAGTGGTTAGCGACTTGATGCCAAACTCTAATTATTAAATAATTCTTTTATTGGGTTTTGATTTTATGAAATGAATGACAAACTTAGATAATTTCGTTTTAAAACTAGGAGTAATGCTTCTTGTATTTTAGTAATCTCAGTTTTTTTTTAATTAATTAACTTAGTCGATAGTGTTTGTGGACTAAAATTAGATCATAAATCTTATATGCGAATTAATTTAACCTTCTTATTAAAAACTAAAAGAAATTTTTTTATCATTCATAATTTTTTTTAATAGTGGCTTGAAATAATTTTATGCGAGAGAAATAAGTTCAAGAATAAAAATAAATATTTGATTATGAAATTTATATTTGAGTTATTTAAAATTAAAATAAGTTATTTGAATTTAGAACTTTATTCCTAATTTTTAAAAAATTTCGTTTCAAGATGTTATAAATTACTTAAATAATTTAAAATATTTCTAAATAGAGTTTATAAGAATAAAATAAATATTTTATTATAAATTTTATATATAAACCGTTTAAAATTTGATTAAAATTATCTATATAAGGAAGGTTTTTCTAATTTTAAATAATTTATTTATAAAATCTATAATAAAATATTTATTTTTATTTAAAAACAATTTTTCTTAATAATTCTCTTTATACTTAAGAAATCAAAATAAATAAAGATCAAAAGAGAGTTTTTAAAAATGAAGTAAAATCAAGTTTAACATTAATCATAAATTTATATTTTCCAATTCTTTAATATAACATACCACTGATGTTAATTTTCTGATAGGAAATGGCAATAATATCTAGATATAAAACATATTACACAATGGGAGTTATGGACTGTTTACTTGTATAAAGTTGAGAAGTATGAAAAACTTACTTTATACTAATTTATTTATTTTATACACATTTCCTTGTATTTTATAATAGTATTTTGAATAGTTTATTTATTACTTGTGTATGGCACTTTGCACATGTTACACAGTGTATCAAAAGAAAATGGTTGGTTTGGTTGAGGACCTGTGGTTATGAAGTGTGAGAGGAGAGAGAAAGAGGGACATAAATGTAATGACACGAACTTGTACTGTTACAAGGAGTTTCCATTAAAGAAATGAAGGGTGGGACAAGGATAGTTTGGGCATTACGGTAAATATAAATCCGGTCGGTTAACCAGTCCCTTCACCACCCTTCAACGTCCCATACCACACCTACAAAGACACGCACAGAGAAAAGAAATCACACCAAAACTATCCTCAATACCTTCACACATACCATAAAGCAAATCAACAACAACAACAACAAATCACAACTTCAAAAACACACAGAACATCTCTCTGTTGTTCTCTCTGTTCTGTTCTGATTTTCTCTCTCTTTCTCTTTCTATCTGCCCCCTTATATTATTCTTCTTCAGACGGTCCACTTCACTTTCAGAAACCCAGTTTCTCATCTGGGTTTTTGCCTGTTGAAGTGCCAAGTTTGAAGGTAACATAAAAATTATGACTTGGAAGAGCAGAGGAGAATTGCCTTCTAGAACTGTTATTTCGCAGAGATGGGCACTGTTTTTGTGTTTGGGAAGCTTCTGTGCTGGAATGCTCTTCACTACCAGGTTCATCACTTTTCCCAATTCCTATTTCGCCATTTCGCACCTTTTTTTATTCATAAATAATGATTTCTTCTCGGTTGTTAAGTTTTGATTCATTCTGTTCATGAAACGAGTTCATGTATTTTGAGTTGGTTGTTTAGTCTTCCAATCAGTGTTCTCAGATCTTTATGTGGTTTGTATGATTAATTGTTGGTTTTCGTGTGTTTAATCATTGACTTGCTTGTTTTTTACTTTTTTTCCGTTATCTTGAGGTCATGGAAGCTTGCAGAAGAATGGATTTAGATCTGGATTCAATTGCCATGAATGATTCTAAATCATGACAATATACGGTTTAAGATATCATCTTTACACTGTATGATTGATTGACTCTTATTGACTAGTCAACTATGGTGTCTAGTCTCAATTTCCTGCTTCAATTATCTTTGCTAATGTTTTATAATCCATCTGAAAATTTAACCGCTATTTTTAGAGTAGAAAGCATCTGTGGGTTGAGTCTAGCTAAAGCGATTAGTCACATATAATCTGGCGAATCAAGGTCCGAATCTCCATTTAGGAAAGCATCTATATTTAATGTCCAATTGCCTTTCATTCAAGATTATCTCCAAGAGGATAATTGTAGAAAAAAGGGAAAAGAATAAAAAGGAAAAGAAAATACTGTTTATGTTACTTGGCACTCTAGTAAGTTTTTTTCTCTATGGTAGTTCTGTAATAATATTATAGCTGTTAACTTCGAACCTAAAAAGATGCTGGTTAATTTTTTGATCTGGCTTGTTATTAATTCAGGCAACTTGTTTGTCGGTGCGTTAGATTTTAATAAATGCATGATTCATTGTTTAAGGGTATTGCCTTGGCAAGTTGGCAACAGGTAAGGTGGTTATTATGGTACTTTTTTCTGATGAGAAACGTTAATGTTGATAATAGGATATGGACTATTCCTGAAAACAACAAAGGACTAGCCCGACCAACGGCTGCAGAAGCTGATAAATTGAACGTAGTTTCAGAAGGTTGCAATTCCAGAATTGTAAGCACCGACAATCTCGTGGTTGCTGAACCTTTACTACTTTTGAAATCTGAAATTCATTATTTTTTTAATTATGTCTGTTGGGGTACCCTTTAGTTGCAAGAATTGGAAATGAAGCGGGATAAAGACATTTATGGTGAAGTTTACAAGAGTCATAATTCCATACAGTAAGTTATATGCAGTGCCATGATGATACTAATGTAATTCTTGTTAGTATTTTTTTCTTTTGGGTTATTTCGCATGCCAAACTTATGGGAAAGTATTGAATGTAGAACATTGGACAAGACTATTTCAAACTTAGAGATGGAATTGGCTGCTGCAAGGGCAACTCAGGAATCTCTACGAAGTGGTGCTCCTGTTTCAGATGATATAAGGATGAGTGAATCATCTGGTAAGAGAAAGTACATTATGGTCGTTGGTATTAATACTGCATTTAGCAGCAGGAAAAGAAGGGACTCGGTTCGTGCCACTTGGATGCCACAAGGTTCATAATTCAACTCCATTTCTTAATATTTTCGGCTATTGTTTTTATGTTATTTTATCTATTTTACTGGTTACTTTTTGTGATGGTTGGTTCTTTTGTTAACATGGAAAATAGGTGAGAAAAGAAAGAAGCTTGAGGAGAAGGGCATTATCATCCGCTTTGTAATTGGACACAGGTACTATGCCATTTATTTTTAAATGATTTTTTTTTTACATAATTAGCGACAATAACATGCTTTTGTCTCAATCCAAAATTACCATGCTTCAGTAAAAGATTGCATGCACTTATTAGATCTTCATACATTCAATCTATATTTTATTTTTCCAGATATGAGGTACTGCACTCATATGACATATCCATCAATTTATAAATCATAACCAATGAATATATTAGATGAATTATAATTTGATCTTTTTTTTTTCTCCTTTATCTAGTGCTACATCAGGGGGTATTCTTGACAGAGCTATTGAAGCAGAGGATAGGAAGCATGGAGATTTCTTGAGGCTGGTAATTTGACACATGCATTCCTTTTTGCTTCATTGCTGCTACCTCCACATGCATGCCCATTCCCTCTTATTTATACTTTGTTTATGCAGAATCATGTGGAAGGATATCTTGAATTGTCAGCAAAGACAAAAACCTACTTTGCCACTGCTGTGAACTTATGGGATGCTGATTTCTATGTCAAAGTTGATGATGATGTTCACGTAAATATAGGTATTAATAGTTCTAAAAATTCTGAAAATCTCTAACTGTATGTATGAATTAGCATGAGGAGTTGTTGTGTTGTAATTAACCAAACCTCTTCTTGGGTGTAGAACGTGTTCACTTATCAACAACAATATAATAAAATAACTACTACTTCACAGGCATCTTAGATCTGTACCACCAAGTCCTAGACACGAGTTTTGTGTTTCGATGATAAGTATGCGTGATTTTGTTTTAACATGTATTTTTGTTTAAGTCTCTTGTTCTTCCTGTTTCAGCAACACTGGGAGAAACTCTTGTAAGACACCGATCAAAACCACGGGTATACATTGGATGCATGAAATCTGGGCCAGTCCTATCTCAGAAGTGAGAAATGCTTGTCTTTTTATCTTTGTTTTTTATTGAGTTGAATTGTTAAAGCTCTTTGACTTAAGCTTCTTACCTGCCCTCCTTGTTGCAGAGGGGTAAGATACCATGAACCTGAGTACTGGAAATTTGGAGAGGCTGGAAACAAGTATTTCCGACATGCCACAGGGCAGTTGTATGCCATTTCAAACGATTTGGCTACATACATATCAATTAATCAGTAAGTTCTAATTCATCTCATTAATGAAGGAAAAAAAGATAAATTGTAAATTGGGCAAATTACACACACCCTTTACACCCAATGTCTCTTTTTTGTCATTACATCAAACTCCCTCAATTTATGTAACATCATAAGAAATCAAGGGATTTTTTGTATTCAGGTGTTATATTATTATATAAATTCATGATGGCATGTGTAGGGTAAACGAAAAAAAAAGGGATATTGGGTGTAATATCATAAAATTCCTTGAGTATGATTGTAATTACCTTCATAAATTAAATCAAATCAATGGATTAAATGGTTCTAATATAGTGTTCTAACCCTGTGTGTTCATGTTTTGTCTCAGGGATGTTCTTCACAAGTATGCCAACGAGGATGTGTCTCTGGGATCTTGGTTTATTGGACTTGATGTGGAGCATATAGATGATCGAAGACTTTGCTGTGGCACTCCTCCAGGTGACTATTTTTCCTAAATATATAAATCAAATTGACTCTTTTAAAAGATTATTGTGATCATACCATTACCTATTTGGTTTGTTTTCAAAGTATCATTAGTAGTCAACACTTTCAAAAGATTGAGTTGGTCACTTTTTGCTTGCAGATTGTGAGTGGAAGGCCCAAGCAGGCAACATTTGTGTTGCATCGTTTGATTGGAGCTGCAGTGGAATTTGCAGGTCTGCTGAGAGGATTAAGGAGGTACATAGGAGGTGTGGAGAGGGTGAGAATGCTTTGTGGAGTGCCTCTTTCTAGGAGGTGACATTGGAGTTCTTCCTAACTCAGGAAGATTATATTACTAAGGCAACATGAATCAAGCCTGCAAGATATTTTTTTCTCTCTTTTCCTATAGTTTTGTGCAGTGTAGAGAAATGTTATTTTACACGAGAAACCAGGAGTGAGAGGGTGTGTGAGAGAGAACATGATGCTTGCACCATGGACCTTCTGCATTTTAAGAGGAGATTGGCCATGGTATTGCACAGCTAGTAAGAAGAGGACGCACGAGATGCATAGTCCACATCATATCCATTCTTTGATGCTTGAAGGGCCACTCAGTTTGTTCATAGTTCCATGGCTATCAAGCTCCTAATAAATAGAGATATAATTGGTGGCTGTTGCTGCCTTTGCTTTTTCTGCCTCAGCTTCATTTTTTCTGTTTTGGTTGAAATGAAATGATTCAATGATATATATCTACTTGTTCTACATCCACTTTTGGCACATCCAACAAGCAAGTCTACTAGAAAAAAAGAAACGAAAAGAAAATCATTTCAGCTTCAACCTTCAAATAAAGATGGTGATGGATAAAATTTTAAGGCACCTATATCTGCCCCTATAGTTGTATTTTTATTTTTTAAATTACTTTTATTCAGACTTATTCACATGAAGAACTGCTTTAATGTTCATATCTTTATACAATGAATTTCTAATTACAGTTGTTAAACCTATTGTATTTTAGTTTAACTCAACATGGTAAATCATAGTGTATTTGTTTGACAAAATAGTTGAACAGAACTATTATTACAATATTAATTAATTAATTAATTATTGTTGAATATAAAAAAATAGTTCAGATTAATCTCTTTTATGGATAAACTACACACAAACCACACATAAAATAATTTATAATTTATTATAATTTATTTATAAAGATACAACTAAAAGGATAATAAAAAATAAATAGAATAAACACATATAAAATAATTTATTTATAATAGAGAAATATACAATTAAAAAGATAATAAAAAATAAACAAAAAATATCGTTTGATATCATAATTAACAATATTTAATAATTATAAAAAAATAACACAATTATTATCTAATATAATATACAAATTGATTAAAAAATATTTTAATTTATAATTATTTAATTTAACAAAATATTTCTAAATATTTAAACTTTAATAATAAAATATGGTAAAAATATTATGCAAGGATGAATAAAGTTAGACATTATACTATGTATATTATAAATAATTATTCATTTTTTAACCTAAATATAATGTTGAGAGTAATTATTATAAAAGTAAATATATTTTACTTCTGCAATAATAATATATATTAGTTCAAAATTATATAAATCTTACTATTTTGAGAATGATACCCATGCATTTGTTTCAATGTTTTATATATTCCGAGGATGTAATTTACGGTCGGAAAATTATTCCTACACGTTTTAAAGCATGTTCCATTAACTTTTCATACTTTTGGGAATGCTTTTTAAATAATAAATTAATTTTATTTGTTTAGATGACAACATAACTTATCCACCTTTTAAAGTGAGAATAAAATTTATACAATTGAGGGATATAACTTTTTTGAGAGAATAAAATATATTCAAAAATATCTTTTTATAACCTTGTAACAAATAAAATATATGTAAAAATATTCTTTTATAACCTTCTAATAAATATACATATAACCATTTAATTTTTTTATTTATTTCCGTAAATAATAAAAAGAAAAAGTTGTCTCCTAATATTCTTTAAAAGAGAGAGCAAATGAAAGTGGTTACAAAATATGTTTAAAATATTTTTCAATTAAATTGAGAAAATAACTTCCCCAAGATGGTCCAATCTTTTGAAATACCTTACGAATACTTGACTTTTTTTGGAGTTTACATAGTAAGAGAAAATACCACGTTTCGCAAGCTGTTTTGTCAAACATAATTTTTTATTGAAAGGCAAAGGTGTGCTAAGTCAAGTCAACTAAATCTCCTTCATGGATTATTCATAGGTAGCTGAAAATTGCAACCTACTTTCTTCATCTTCACGTAGGTTGTGGTTCCTTAAATTGAGATGCAAGGTGGATTAAAAAAAAAAAACGGTGACAAAAGTTCAAAGTACTCAATAACTAGTTTTGAAATTTAAACTCATTTTGAAAAAAAAAAAAAAAATGAAGAGTAATATGTTTAATTTATGCGAAAACAAGTAATGTTAATTTTCTGATTAGGATTTTGAGTAATATTAGTTTACGTCGACTTTAGTTACTTTTAAACCTTTCTTATGCTAGTTCCGCTTACAAATCGAAATAAAAAATAATGTATATTCGTATCTCACTTTTAATATATAAAATAAAAGTGCATTTAACAACAAATAAATTTCAACTTCGAATCAAACCTGACTTAGGATCAGATCAACCAGAAACTTCAAAATTTGATTTAATCCACTATGGATTGATAGGTTAGCCACATTTTTTATTTTTTTTAAAATACACTGTTGACAAAATTTGAGTAATGTATATATAAAATACATATTTAAATTTGTTAGAATCATTATTTATTAAGTCAAATAATAAAATGATATGAATAAATTAAAATTTTTGCTAAAGACATATGTCATAAAAATAAAATTGTGTAGAGACCATAGAGTAATTTCTAATTTGATGAGGGACCAAATTAGAAATACTAAAACTTAAATAATTAACCTAATTCTGATTATTTAAGGGGTTATGGTCACTTCTGGAGAAGCACACAAAACGTAAGTATCGAGTCCCGTTCTTTTCTTTCTATCCCATCAAGAGAAAAAATCAAGTGGAAAATACAGATACTCTTCAGGTGGAAGACCATAAGATCAAATCAAAGGTGCGCTTTCGCATTTAGTTCATAACATGTTTAAAATATAGGATTATGTATGTTTGATCATAAGAAAAAAAATCATATTCAATTACAGTTTAACCTTACAAACACAATTGAATTACTTAACTAAACTACAATTACGCAATAATACGATAACTAAAATACGATAACATAATAATGTTATGAATGCGTTGGTGCAACAACGTTAACACAATTAAAATATAAAACTAAAACATTATAATATAGATATGATAAATACTATGACACAATTAAAACACAAAAGACTTACTTTAAGCAATTCAACAACTTAATCTTTGAATTAAGTAAACCAGATTGATTTTTAACTCACTAAATATAAAAATAAAACCCAATTACACCCGAATCCATGATAAGCCATGATAAACCGAATTGACCGAAAGATTCCATCATACATCGACACGTCTAGTTTTAACGAAATTATACTGTTTTTATTCATTTTTGTTTTGTTACACAACTTCACCATTTTCTAACTTGGTAATTTCTTTTGCCTCCGAACATGGCAAATGCTTGATCGACTGTTAAGGAAGAGGTTCAAATTAAAAATAATTGAGACAGTTAAATTTAAAAATTCCTCTCTAATCCAAACGTTGTTTTCAATTGGGTTATAGGCCCAATACGCCAAACTTTTCACCTTGGCCCAAAAACATATTGGGTAGTCCAAAAATTATTTTTTTAAACATTAGTCAACCTCAGCCAACTCAAATTATTGTTAACAATAATTTTGTGAAAACAATATTAATACTGTTGAGATTCCAAGTTAACTCTTGAAGAAAGAAACCAGCGCAATTTTAATTTATATTTTATATTTGTTTTTCAATACGTCATATATACTTACCTACACATTTTTTAAAATGAAAACAATTAAGTGAAATAATAATTTCCTTAAAAATCTAATATTAATTGTGTAATTGTTACAGTTTTACTTATATACATAGTTGAGTAATTTTCAGTAAAGTTGATAGTTGAGTTTTTAAAAAGCACTCAATGTTAGAACATTTTTTCATAAAAGGTATAAATGAAGTAGTTGAAAAAATGATATAGAAAATTACAAATCAATAATAAATGTGGGTAATGTAGTCTAAGTCCCTATTAAATTAAATAAGATAGAAAATTGTTTCATAAAGTATAATGAATTGTAATGACTTACGAAACAGTAAATAAGAATAATTTAGTCTAAATTATATAAATTAAATATTCCTTAAATTATGAAGAAAAAAACTATAAATTTTTACGAGTGTATATTGAAGTTTTAGAAAATACTGCTACAAGTTTCAATATTTAATAACAAATTCCAATGTGTCAAAAATTGTTTCTTCCCAAGAAAATCTTTGTATTCTTTCAACTTTAATTCGTGAACATATAAACTGCTCTGTAAGCTATAATTTTCATAAACTATTTTAAAGAACTTAAATTAGAAGAAAATATTTTATGGATACAAATAAACTTCCTAAACACATGCACAAGTACTGTTTCTTACTATTATAAGAACCAAAAGATACAAATTTAAACTCTTTGAAACCAGGTTAAAAAACAAAACAAGATAAATGGGTTAAAGAAAAGAAAGAGAAAGAAGATGAAGAGTAGAGTACACAACCTGCATATGCTACATGGCTCTGAAAGAAAAGGAAATAGAAGAATGCATAGGGAAAAAGCATCATTCAGGGGTGTGAAGAGCAGTGGCTCGTGATATTGGCACGGCTCAATGAAAAAACAGGACCCTGAAACATTTTGAGCATTGCTTTCTTATTGAACCGGACCAATATCCCGTTGAACCGGTCCCCTCTACCCCTCATTGCCACCATTTCTTTGCCTTGACTTCACATATCTGCTGAAAAAACCAACCACAAATAATGAAGCATGAAGATTGATAACAAAAATTCAGAAGGGGCCCTATGTGTTTTTCACTTGGGGGTTGGAAAGTGCTAATAATAACAACAAGAATAATGAAACATAACGTATATAACATTCATGTAAAGAACCCTAGGTTTAAATGAGTTGAAGAGAAGCAGGAAGGGACTGACAGTGATCTATGAATGGGGAAGTTAACACCGTATAGGGGTGGACTTGTTGAGGTGTGTTGTTGTTCATGCACAAAAGAAAGAGGTAGAGATTAGAGAGAGAGAGAGAGTGAATCAAGTGTG